CGCCTGCAGCACATGAAGTCTCTCACCCAAAACGCAGCCTCAATTCTCCATCCACCGCCGCAAACATGCACGCGCACAGCGCACCCGGAGATTGTTGATTGATTGCATTCTCCGTGCTTGAGAATCCCTGTGCAGCGTGACGATGTGGGCGGTTTGGCAGAGAGCCTGGTGACAGCGCCCGAAACTCAGCTCGCTTGAAAGTGGTGTAAACTACGAGGAGGGGACCGCATCTTGAAACTATTTGCTTTTCGTGAGAGTTGCCTTCAATGACTCAGTCGTTGATGCACGTGTCACAAATGGAAAAAGCATTGTGGAGATTAAACACATGGGTTTCAGCCTGCCTCATGCTAGAGATGATAGCAGTCCGATCACAAGCGACCTCCAGCAAGCCGAACCCAAGGCCACGGACAGTGGACTTCGACACAATCCTGAGCACAGCGTGCTGGCCTCGACTGTAGCTGTCTAGTGAAACCTGTAAGGCCCTTTGTAACCGAAGTGTGCGGGTTCTGACAGGACTCCGAAAGCTTGTGGTAGCCATCGAAACCTTTTGGCTTTGGCATCCAGCCCAGGTATGCTGTCTGTGCATTTCAGAGGCGACACGCATTGCCCCCAGATCTGACAGCACCCAAACTCACCTCGCCTTCAAACATGTGCGGGTCAAGCAACGCAGGGTCCAGATTCGGGTGCCCCATACCCGCCTCGATCATCTGTACACTCCGCAGAAGGCCCGGCCAAGCATTTGTGCGGCATGTTACCACGCCCGCCGGCTCAGGCTTCATGTATGCCTGCAAACGAAACTGAACATGCATTGAGGGATTGAAATGTGCACGAAACTTGAGTATCTGGATCTCCCACAGTTTGCACAAGCCAGCGCAAGAAAGGCGTGTGAAGGATTAGGGTGATTTGGGTTCAGTTTCTTCGGGATGCAGAAAGTGAGGACATCAATTCCAATGGCGTGTGGAAAACAACCAAATGGGATGATGCCTGCGAACTCTTCTATTAACTCTTTGGTTGCCAAAGGGGTCTCAACCAATTTCCTCCTCGGCTGCGGACATTCCTCCATGCCATTTTGGGAACGCGCACATGGAGGAATCAATGGGAAAGAGCAGATGTTATGACCTCGACCTCGTACGAACACTGAACATCATGAACCGGCTTTGCAGACTGCTTCAAGCTAGCCGGGGTACATGGTGGGAAGCGATTGTGTTGTGATATACGTTTTTGAGTCGTAAAGAACGGTGGCATACGGTGGCAGGATGGGAAGTCCTGGCTACTGCTCGTTCTCTTACCGCCTCGCAGGTGCACTGGACCTGGACAGCGCTGTGAACGCCAATGCCTAAGCTTTTCAAGGCCGATTTTGTGCGGCCCACCACCCTGTAGTCTTTCCAGCTCTGTCAAGGCAGCACAGGAAGGGTTGTCTTCCCTCTGGGGCAAGGCACGCGAACTGGCTGCTCGGATGTCACCGGAATAGTTTGCAAAGCGAGCTGCAACCCGGCAATTGAAGGTACGCGCAGCAGGTGCAGGCTACTGGGAGGCTGCGAAACGGAGCCTTTAGAGCGAACCAGCTTGTGCCAAATCTGTTCCAGGCCAATTGTAGGCATGGTAGGCACACAGAAGCATGATGCTTCATCAGTGCATCACCTCCTCCAAGCATGCTGGCTTTCTCCTGTCAGAAACTGTCAGAGTCACACGCACGCTTCTGGCCCAAGCCGCCGCAGTCGAACATGCTCTTGCATCCGTAAATGCACAAAAACATACAAGCAACAAGCGACTCTGCCCAGCATCAGAACTGCGACGAAGCGAGAGGATCACTGCGGGGCGCATGCTACAAGGCCATGGCGCCTGCAGAGGACGCTACTGTGGTGGAGGCCGCTCGGCTTTCCGCAGCGGCAACCGCTGCTGCAGCAGTTGAAGTTAGATGGCAAAGCAAAGGCCTGTAATTATCTTGCGCAGCGTCTTCGTCACCTTCGAGCCGAAGGCAAGTATTGCCGCCTAGCCGGCAAAGATGTATTTTTGGGTATTCCCTTCGAGATCCCTCGCGCAATGCTGTGTGCATCATTCGCTTCCAAGGTGATGTCGTGCTTGTTGCCGCTGACACCAGGCAGGCCATGTCATGTCATCGGCTGTCGGACGTGGGGTCACTGATTCCGGCACGCGCTCTAGAATGCTACTTGAGCTGTGACCTGCCATATCGACATCACAGCCTCTTCACTCTTCACTCGTTCCAGACAGGGATCGCGGCGCATGCAGGATGGAAGCTCACCGCGCTGTCCTGGCCACAGCAAGCTCCACATGGCAGCAGGCGCTTCGCAACTGTTTGCCGAGCATGGCTATGGCTATGGCTGCTAGTATGTTACCTTGCAGTTTAAAAGCTTGCTGTCGCCATCCACAGGCACTGCAGAGTGAAAGAGGTGGTCGGTGGCAAGGCCCCAGTTAATTGTGAATGGCCGTCCGTGACTTTGGTTTGCTTTGCTAGCCTGCTGTGCCTCATCTTGGCTAGGTAGCCCTGGCAAACTTGAAGCGCAACCTCCTGCCGAATTGCGATTCCCGCACTGCGCGAGGCATGTTCTCCTTCCCGCTCTCGCTCTATCCTCTATCTCCCTCCACAGAAGAACATAAAGCATGCATGGTTGCACTGCTGGCATATCAGAGGCCAGAGCTTCTTCGGCTGCTCATCGACCACATCTATGGTGCCACGACTACTGATCAGTTTGCTGCCCTCGTTCAAGGCACAACATGAAATTCATGACACCCTCCTCTCGCTTCGGGGTAGCTTGTCGGCGGGTAAGAAGATGAATGCATCAGAAAGCACAGTATAAAGTCCCAAAAGGCCGATCTGCTGAGTATTTGCAGACGTTTTAAGGTTCATCATGTAGTCCTATAACGTGCCCGGGAGCTCTAACATGGGCTGGTTGCAGCACCAAGCCAGAAAGTTCTGAAGGCAGCTGCAGAGAAGCCATGCAGCTTTTTGAGGTCCGATCCCCGGGCTCCAAGATTCTGTCTGTCATTTAGTCTTCAACGATGATCCACGTTGAAAGCGGGGGTTTTAGCAAGGGCCTGCATCACCGAAGGCCCTGGCACCGTCTCCCTTTTCGGAGCTGCCATCGCTGCGGCTGGCCAGGTGTTCGTTGCGCTCTAGGATCAAATATTTGGATTCATTTAGGCTTCAGGTGTTCGCGGACGAATTCACCTCACGCCGCACTGTGCTTTTAGTATACGGTGCAGACGAGTGTTAGACACGGAATGCTGAGAGAGGCACAACGATGCTTCTCCTCTTTCGCAAACCTGCAGGAGACTGTCCACACTGCGTCGCCACTGCACTTTCTGCGACACCGCACGGCGCTCGAAGGGTTCCGGGTTCACAATCCGGCAGAGGATGGGGCAGCGTGCGGAGGATCTGTGAGCCGAGCCAGAGGGCTCGACCGCCAAGCCGTAGAGGGCGACTGCACCTTGCACTTTGAAGTTGGTTCGGGCTGGAACCTTGGAATAGTAAAAGCCAGTCTGTTGCGGGATCCTCAGGTGAGACGTTGATTAGCCAGATCAGAGTCGTAGGCTGCAGCCGATCCTTGAGGCGTGCGAATTTGCAGAATATTTTACTTTGCAGAACTCTTTGGCTTACCTTCAGGTCTTGACAACAGGACGGGGCCAGACTGCTCTCGCGCACCGTGCAGTCCTTGCTGCAGGCGCCTTTCCTGGCGAGGGCTACATTCGGATTTGGGGTTTAGGGACAGCATGATTGCAAGCTGCTGCGCCTGAAGTTGGGATGGCCGCCCACCGGATCACTAAATCCGGTCGCCAGGCTCGGAAGCTTTGAACAGGTACTTCTCAGAGCAGCTTGCTCATCCGGCACCTTGGCATTCTGGGAGCCTTTGTCCTTATGTTCTTGTACTGGTAGAAGGTTACGGGCCGTTTTGATGAACACAAGTTGCTTTTCGCTCTTGCGTTCACTCCAGGGCTTCGGCGGCCTAGATGCGGTGGAGTTGGCGCTGGGAGCTGTGGCAGCATCTAGCCTGGAGGCTCACGTGTCCTGTAAAGGATGAACTGCACGCGAGCTGCCTTGAGCCGCGGTAGTGGCAGTCTATGTGCTGAGCTCCACGCCTCACCGCACGAAGGTCTTATGTCAAGTGCACTTCTGCTCGGTAGGCTTTGGTGGACCGGCTGTATTTGGGGCCAGTTGTGGGCCGGGTTCCTGGCAGACAGCAGTGGAAGATGGATGACAGGAAAGCTGTGTGGATCCAATCGGAAATGGACACTTTTGCTTTTCCAGGGAGAGAACGACGGAACATCACGGAACCGCTGCAAACACGAATGAAAAGAGGTCCCAAGCCTGGAGGACGCCAGTGTAAGCGCTGTTCAAATGCCGCTGTGCCATGGTGTCCCAGCTTGTCTTCTCGAACTGATTGGCGACGGATCGAAATAGGTCTGCCCGTGATCCACATATTCTTCTAATGCGTGTTGCAAGGCCTGGCATGCGCAGACTTCGCTCTGCTCGAGACCGCTTTGGCACTAAGGCTTGACACTCAGTTCGATCCAAACGATGAGCATCCGAACGCTTTCAATGGATGCGACTTCCCTTCACTGCGACCCCTCGGGAAGGACCGGCCCCCTGACACGGCCAAGCCCGACTGGGCTGTCCAGCGATACAGGTGGCGCACCAAGCAAACTTCAAAGTATCGTACTTGCATGCCAAAGCTGACATAGCTTGCCTATTGTGAGACGGAACACAGCAGAGCCAAACAGCACACCACAAGCCTCGGGGGCCAAGCGGGAGTGCTCAATAAGAGGGTTCTTTCCGCCTGGAGATTTCCTGAACGCATGAACCCAGGTGCTCACCAGGTGAAGAGTTTTCAGAAGGCGCCGCTGCCTCTGCCGAGTGAAGTCGTGAACAGCCAGGCAGCGTTAAATCAAGTTCTTCGTCCTACTAGTAGCCATCACTCGGGTTCCCTCTGCAGAAACACAATTTTGCTCAAGCTCGGCAGATATTTTGCTGTTCACCGATCATGGCCGCGTGGACGCTTCTTGCGTTGCTGCTTCCGGCGAGACTTGCTGCCCAAGGTTCGGGAGTCAAGTCACGCTGAATCATATCAGATATTTGCAAAGCTGCATGTGTATTTGAGCAACCGGCGACTGCAGACGAACCCTGGGCTGTGAAGTTCAAGCATCAGCATGCAAACTTGCAACAGGTTGCAGGTATGTCGTGCAAAACAAGTGCGATGTTGCACTCGCCTAGCAGAGAAATACAAGGTCAAGGCCCCTAGGCATAAGTAGTAGTACTGATCAGAGGTTGGCCTAAGACGGCATGCAGGAGACTACCAGAACTATATCAACAAGTATGCTTCTGGATATATGGGTGGCTCCGGCGGCTCTGGCTACCAGAAGTATTACCAGCAGTACATGGACAAGTATGGCTCTTCCGGATCAGGTGGCTATGATCAGTTCATGTCAAAGTATGCCGGTGGCTATGCAAGCAAGTACATGTCAGGGGACAAGACAGCAGAATCTGGCCCCGTTAGTCTCGCCGCTGCGGATGCATCGAGCGACAATGCGGCAGACAAGACCAGCAGTGCCAGCTCTGAGGGAAGCAGCTACCAAAAGTACATGGACTACTCCAAGTACACCGGAGGCGCGCAGGGTGGTTCGCAGGCGGGACCGGCAGAGCAAAGCATGCAGGTTTCCTGTGCCTTCCGTGGAGCTCAATAATGCTATGTGCAGGTCAATGTAGGTCACAGGCCTGCGAGTTAGAGGTGTAAAGACTCTGCATCTGTGATCCGCCACGAACATCTTGACGTCAGTCAAGAGTCGGAGCTTGGGTCGTCGGATCTGCTGAGCCGCTGGGACTGGGAAAGTAGCACTTCATTCACAATTTCTCCGAGGCCGATACAATGTATTTCCTTGCAGCGGAAACCTTAGCAAATCGAGAATATCATTACAGCACTGGGAAATTCCAGACCAAGATCCGCAAGTGTCCGGACTCGATATGTCGGTCCATGCAAGATGCAATCGCAGCAATGCAGCAGAAAGCCTGTCGTCTGTGGTTGTGCTTGACACGTTGTCGGAAGTTGCCGGGACAGGCGATCACAAATGTCTGTAGGATGTGTGTTTGCTTCAGCCTCTTAAAGAGAATGTGGTTGCTTGGCTTTGTGAAAAAATTGTGGGTGCAGACAGCCGCCCGAACCGCCTTGTTCGCAGGGTGGTGCCGGCGGTGACTACAAGCAGTACATGGACTACTCCAAGTACACTCAGGGTCAGGGTGCCCAGGGCGGAGGAGCTTCAGATTACAAGAAGTACATGGAGTCCTACAGCGGCGACTACAGCAAGTACATGAAGGGCCAGGGCTCCCAGGCGAGGTAATGTTGATTGTGGAGAGTTGGCATGCCTGTGACCAGCAGCTCTTCATGCCAGCTTGATTTCTTCAAGGTTGGTAGTTCAGGACTCGGATTACATAAGATTTGGGGTTCGCCAGAATCTTGCACGTTTTTTGCTGCTTGCTGCAGCCTATGAAGGAGAATGTGATTGCTCGATGTTGCTTGGGTTTGTGAGAACTTGGGTGCAGACAGCCGCCCGAA